TATATCTCATGCCCCCGACGAAATTAGAACGTACGTGCCTTTCTTTAAATAGATACGAAACCACGGTATTTATTTTTTTATTTTGGCAGATTAAAATCTGCAATATTTTAATAAGCATAAGCACGATGATTCAAAAGGATTAATCTATAAATTTTAAAATTTTCGAAAAATATTTATATCAAAATCGTCTCTCGTTCGAAAAATCGATGCAAAGATGCGCCTACCGATATCAACGCGTGATTCGCGGGGTCAATAGACGGCCGCTGCGTTCGTCTGGTGGATGACTCCCAAGTCCATAGAAAGAGTACCGCTACTCACCGCTATACGTCCCCCCTTTCCCCCGCTTGCCCCTCCCACCATCATCCACCCTCCTTTTCCACTACGCGCTCACCGTTCTCGCTCACCGTCCTTCTCCTTTCCCCGGCTCGAGCGATCATCGTCTCAGCTTCTTCGGTCGTGGAACGCGCCGTCCCCACCGATCGCCGACGGCGATGCCGCGCCGTCGCGTGGCGCTACACTTCATGCGGAGACCTCGCGAACTTTGCTTCTCATAACTACATTCCCCTTCCCCGATGTACGTTCCTCTCCTTCGCGTATCAATTCTTCCCCTTCTACGTCCGTGGATCCACCTGGCCGGTAGGCGCATGCTCCCGTCACAGGCCGCCGTCTAGCCAAAGCGGTACGTGACCAACTGGTCATAGCGCTTCGCGCCTTGCTGCGGATAACTCATCGTCATTATGACCGGGCGCGTTTTCTCCACCCTCGTCGCGTTGTATCCTCGGTTACAAAGACGCCGCGCGAATCTTCACGAATGCGATTTCAAAAACGAGTTCGCATTCCGCGAGATGAATCGAGTTAAGGCAAATTTTTTTTTGTGCATGATTGACAGATTCTGATTGAAAAGAACAAAGATACTGAGAGACCTCGCTCTTGAATATTGATCAAGTCACTTTGACTTTTGCGCGGGACACTTCCTACACGTCCATCGATTACTTTTCTACAGATTTATACGCTGTCGCTCTCTAATGACGTTCTCCTGATTAAGTCGTAAATCAAATTATGAAACAAAGATTGAAGAGTTGATAATTGATGAAGAATCGGTGCTTGTGTCCGCTGTAGTTTGTAGCGCCGGCATATTTTCAACGTGAAAAATCGATAGTCCGCAAATAGATAAGCCGACTATCGACAGCTGGTGACAGGGCAGGTAGCCAGTGAGGGGTTGCCCAAGGTCGTCGAGGGTAAGTTACCCCCGACAAAGGAAGTTCGCATCTGCGCATAGAAGAGAAATTCGACTATCTTTCTCGCTCCTCACGTTAAATGCTACGCTTGACGCGTCGTATATTTGCTCGCTATATAGTGTATATAGGTCGGCGGTACGCCTCGTGCGGCTGTCGCTGAAACCAAGTTCAAGGCCAAAGGCTCGGCAAAGGCCACAATCGCGCGCGATGGTGGGGATCGTTGATGGCTGAATAAGTGGAGGGGCTGTTGAACGCAACCCGCGGAACATCACTCAGTCGGCGGTGATGCTGTCTCGTGTCTGCACGCGTACTACGGCCGCGCTCGTTCTTTAAAGTCGGAGCAGCCTCCTCCTCGCAGCACGCGCTATCCCGCCGTGCGATCGCTTGGAGTGACTCGTGTTTCGAGTTAGCCGAGAAGATCGTTCGATGATTATTAGTCGCGCGAGAGAGCAACGTCAGACAGAGAGCTTTTGTATGACAGTGACAATCGCGGTGTTAGACGGTGGTGATTTATAGTGGCCGATATAAAAGTTATAGTCACGTGCGTCAAAGTGCAATCGAATCCAAAAATTAGTCTGATTACTCGACACGGTTTCCCTAAATCGTCATGGGAGACGAGTTACCGATTCTGAAAGGGATCCTCAACGGAGTAGTCAACTATCACAATGCACGTAGGTGTCGTCCCTTCACGCAACGATAACGATTCTGATGTGTGATAGCGATCGTTTAGCAGCAACGTACTTTCTAACCGAGGATTCGTAGCACGCCAGAGCAGCGGCCGCTCGCGCGCCGCACTTTCATCTCCTCGCGCGAGAAAGTCGTGCGCTTTCCCCTCTGACTTTTTTCCACCTTTAGCGCGAAACCATATCTGGTGTGACGGTACTTGCGCTTTGAATAACCGTCGATTTTATCGTAGCTCGAGAGACGCGTTTTCTTCAATTCTCTCACTCTTTCGTACGCGAGCATCACGCGAATGTCGACGTTCGTTCGCACGAAGGTCATCTCGCGATAGCGGTCGGGTCCGTTGCATGATTCATCCATTGATCGCATTAACTATTTATCGTCGTCCTTCCTTTTGCGCGCGACGTACGAGCTTCGCAGCACATCTAACCCGTGATTATCTGTTTCTGATTACAGCGGTGCGATTCGGCCGCGTGCCAAAACGTGAGAAGGCCAGGATTCTGGCTGCCATGCAGCAGAGCTCCCACAGCCGTTCTCAGGAGAAGGCGGTAGCAGCCGAACTAGAGGATGAGCAACGTCTCCTCACAACCGTGGTGCGGGCCCATCTCGATACATGCGACTTTACCAGAGACAAAGTGGCTCCCATCCTCGCCAGAGCCCGCGAGACCCCCAACTACACCGCGTGTCCACCGACCTTGGTAAATAAGCTCGACCTTTCCTCTTGACATTGGCGGATTACGCAAGCCGTTTCGCGCCGCATTAAGATTTGACTAGTCGGCGTCTACGCTGACGTCAATAGCTCCGCGGGCCTTGGGCCGTCTTGATCTTTCGAGCGTTCTACGCGGAAATCGCGCAATAACCAGGCGACCTCGGCTGTCGCAAAGGAGGAAGCGAGACCCGACGAGAACGCGTGAACGTCTCGTCTCGTCTCGTCTCTCCTCCACTCACGAGGACGCCTGGTATACTCTTCCGAGTGACAACGGCAACGTGGACGTCCTTCGATGTGATTTAACGATTCGTCGTCTTTTGACCTCGAAATTTTATTCCTTCTGTTACAGGCATGCCCCTTGAATCCTAATCCGCAACCATTGACCGGACAGCAGGAACTGTTACAGGATTTCTCCAAGAGGTTCTCGCCGGCTATTCGCGGTGTCGTCGAATTCGCGAAACGTATACCTGGATTCAGCCTGCTGGCTCAGGATGACCAGGTCACGCTACTAAAGGCCGGCGTTTTCGAGGTGCTGCTCGTACGACTGGCCTGCATGTTCGATGCTCAAACGAACAGTATGATCTGTTTAAACGGCCAGGTGCTCAAGCGAGAGTCCATCCACAATAGTAGTAACGCTCGATTCCTAATGGATTCGATGTTTGACTTTGCCGAAAGGGTCAATTCTTTGCGATTATCCGATGCTGAGTTGGGATTGTTCTGCTCAGTGGTGGTGATTGCTGCCGACAGGCCCGGGCTTCGCAATACCGAACTGGTTGAACGTATGCACAACAAACTCCGAAACGCTTTACAAACGGTACTCGCGCAGAATCATCCCCAGCATCCCGACATTCTCCGCGAGCTATTGAAGAAGATACCCGATCTAAGAACTCTAAATACCCTCCACTCTGAAAAACTCCTGGCGTTCAAAATGACTGAGCAGCAGCAACAACTACAGGCTCAACAACAACATCAGCAGCAACAACAACAAACGCACGTTATCACCGCTCAACAACAATCACATTGGCCAATGGAGGAGGAGCCCCCGGCATCCTGGGGTTCCGCTTCGGACGTAACTCTGGACGAAGCGGTGAAAAGCCCGTTAGGTAGCGTATCGAGCACCGAAAGTACTTGCAGCGGTGAAGTTGCCTCCTTGACAGAATATCATCACGTTGCACCACCTAGCGGTCATCATGCCTCAAGCGCGCCTCTTCTGGCTGCTACTCTAGCCGGTGGACTCTGCCCGCATAGACGACGAGCGAACTCAGGCAGTACTAGCTCTGGCGACGATGAGCTTCATCGCGCTACTATGTCGAAGACACCTCAGCCACCGCAATGCCCGCGGTTCCGCAAATTAGATTCACCAAGCGACAGCGGAATCGAATCCGGCACCGAGAAGCCCGATAAACCGGCCAGCAGCAGCGCTAGCAGTGCGCCCACGTCCGTGTGCTCGAGTCCGCGTTCGGAAGACAAGGAGGTCGAGGACATGCCGGTGCTGAAACGCGTACTCCAAGCGCCACCGCTATACGACACCAATTCATTGATGGACGAGGCTTACAAGCCGCACAAGAAATTCCGTGCTTTGCGTCAGAAGGATAGCGCCGAAGCCGAGCCGGCCGTGGTGGTCCAGCATACGCAGTCTCAGTTGCATCTGCATCTGACTTCGCCACCGGCGCGAAGTCCGCCCACTCAAACGGCGCAGTCCCAGTGCCCGCAGACCGCGAGTTTGCTGAGCAGCACGCATTCCACCCTCGCGAGAAGCCTGATGGAGGGCCCGCGGATGACGGCGGAGCAGCTGAAGCGCACGGATATCATACACAACTATATAATGCGCGGCGAAGCCAGCCCTAGGTCGCCCACAGCATCGCCGTCACCTGCAGAACAATGCGCATCGACAACTACCGCGACAGCGCGCACGACGCAAGGATCTCAAGGTCTTCTGCAATGCGCCACCACGAGTTACTCGAACAGGTGGCCGGCCACTTCAGTGATCACGACGACGACAGGCGCGCGACAACAGCAACAACAACAACAACAACAGCAATCTTCCTCGGACTATCTCGCTGTTAGCAATTCCCCGGCTTCGTCACCGAGATATCTATCCGCGGCGGCGACTAGCAGTACGAGTACAAGTCCGAGACCGACCTCGAGTACGGCGGCCACGCTGGTATTGTCCGGCTGTCCGAGCAACATGATGGAGCTACAGGTCGACATCGCGGACAGCCAGCAACCGCTGAACCTATCTAAGAAGTCGCCATCTCCGTCGCCATCACCGAGACCGCTCGTCGGACCGTGCAAGGCTCTCTCCCTCGAAGCGTAGTGTTCTCGCGAGCTCGAGTGATCTCCCGTGACATGTGCTAACGCGCGCGAAATCGGGATGTCTGATCCACCTATCACCTACCGGCGTGCGCTAATCGTCGTCGTAACGCGGTATAACCTTCCCCGGCTCTTAACTAGAAACGAAAGTGCCAGGACGCTCTGAGAGCGCGTGACAAACCAAATAATTTATTAATTTAAACTACTTATTGCTAAAAAAAAAATCGCGCGAAAAAAGGAGGTGGAAGTTACGGAGGAACGGTCGAGGTACATCTCCGCGTATATTTATGAGGAAGACAGACATTCTCAGTGGCGAGTTGCTTTTTCCGAGTGTGCGAAACGACGATGGACATCGTGGACGGACGCTTGCGCGTTGAGTGCCGATCCGATGAGAGCAACGATGCCGTGTAAGGGAAGCCACCTATCCACCTAAAACTACCTATCTACCTGTCTACCTACCTAAAACCTATCTGCTCTAGGTGTACATCTAGAAGATAGAGCATCAGCGACCGAAAAAAATAAAAGGTTGAGTGTTACAGAAATTAATAATCTATCTACATGTGATAATCATGGAAATCGCGCATCCTGTACAGTCTCCACCTCATTCATCGATCATCTACTCTACTATAATTATTGAATATTATAAAACTAATTAATATTATTGTAATATGTGTAAGGTATTATAATCGTAAAAAAATTATCATTTTTTCGTGTACGTGTGTAGAAAAAAAAAGACGCGTATGATATTTTTGCGCGAATGACGAGAGGAAGATGTAGAGAGAATGAGATAAAATGAGAGCGAGCGAGTGACGAGTGAACGTGCTTGTGCAAATGAGTCGGGGCAAATCGAAAAGCTTCTTGATCGCGGTGGCAACCGAGAGAGGGAATCGCGCACGCGATTTTAAAGAATTAAACGTTTTGTTATGAGACTGATCGGCCCGCCGCGGCCGCTAGTTTGCAATTACCGTACCTTTATACACTACGTGTCGTGTCTCTTCGTCTCTTCGAGGAGTAACGACTCGAGAAGTAATTATATCCTCTAATCGCGCCGTATAGCGAAATAGGTATCATAGGCCCGCTTAAACGCGTTATACGATATTATGTGTCGTGTGTGCATGCATGAAAGTCAGATAGATTGAGATAGGATCGCGAGAGAGAGAGAGAGAGAAAGAAAGCGAGAAAGAGAAAGAGAGCGAGAGAGTGGGAGATGAAAACAAAGATAGAGAGAGAGAGAGAGAGAAGCCGCGAAGCGCTCGAGCAAAGCGGAGTTCCGATAGAACGGCGAAGCGCAGTGTAAATAGTAGATTCGTAAGGCTATGTCTTGGTAGGCGCGAGTGAACCTCTTTTGCTTCGAGAAAATCATGAGGGATAGTTAGAAGATACGCGGCGGGCCGCCGCCGACGTGTTGTTGAGACGCCTGCCCCCCTGCTCCCCCTCCCCTCTTTACCATTCCCATCTTCCCCGCCTAACCATCCGCATATCTCAATCCCAGCATAAATATCGCATCAAACACGCATAAAAACCCACAACACGCTGAGCGAGTAAACTGATCTTGAGACAGTTGTAGAAACACTTATGCCTCTTTTCGAGACGGACTAGATCCCCTTGGTTCGATCTAGAAGAAGCTTGCTTTAACCAAGTCCGTTATTAAGCTCGGTCTATAGATCGATTGCAAGCTGAGTTGCATTTACGTTCGGTCAGATTAAAGGGAAGCTGGTTCGCGTCAGAACGGGGCATCAAAAGCACATTCAAAATGAGTCATTCAAATTCAGTCTGTCTCCCAGCTAGAATATAGCCTAACCAGAATATTCCTAAACACCCAGCTTAGAGGCCTCTATATTTATTGTATCTAAAGAGAGTGCATTTCTCCCCTTTTCGCCGTGTAGCGTGATATCACACTCACCCCCGATCCTCGAGCGAGTCCTCGAATAAAATCCTCCTGGCTCTCTTTACAAAATACACGCACACACACATGTACGCAAAACAGACATATTTACACGACAGCGACACACATGCACACTAAAGCGAACACTTGTCTTGTCCCCTCCCCCGCAGACAACCTAGCGTTGATATTCGTAATACTTGTTATGCATAAACTACACATAATTATTATAGTGAACGATACATATAAAGTATGATATATTTCCCTATCCATTAAGAAGGAGAATACAAACAGCTGTTGTTTCTGGTGGAAAAAAAATGAAAAAAATATGGATATAAAAACGTACTCTACTACATGCAAGAATACAAATGCAGCCCCGCATATTGCCCAGTGAGCACGTCATTTTGTACGCTTGGGAGTTGTGAGGTCGTCTGAATAAACATTGTCTGGTGAATTATACATAAAAAAAATTTTGTCTTCTTATTTACCACTAGCCCGACATTTCTCCGATTCTTCCAAGGTCTGAGATCTCTTATCCTACCTATGCCTTCCAAGGATATTCAAATCCTTATATGTTGATTTTACTGATATTTTTATTTAAACTTATTCGTAATATAAGCATATAATTAAATTGCAAATTTAATAAATGCTAATTAAGAAACATATAGATTTAATATATTATACATTTATCTCTGCATATATAAAAGATATAAGACATCCTCAGCAACTGCTGTTTGTAAAAACAGCAAATTATATTTTATTTTGTGAGGTCGTCTGAATAAACATTGTCTGGTGAATTATACATAAAAAAAATTTTGTCTTCTTATTTACCACTAGCCCGACATTTCTCCGATTCTTCCAAGGTCTGAGATCTCTTATCCTACCTATGCCTTCCAAGGATATTCAAATCCTTATATGTTGATTTTACTGATATTTTTATTTAAACTTATTCGTAATATAAGCATATAATTAAATTGCAAATTTAATAAATGCTAATTAAGAAACATATAGATTTAATATATTATACATTTATCTCTGCATATATAAAAGATATAAGACATCCTCAGCAACTGCTGTTTGTAAAAACAGCAAATTATATTTTATTTTGTGAGGTCGTCTGAATAAACATTGTCTGGTGAATTATACATAAAAAAAATTTTGTCTTCTTATTTACCACTAGCCCGACATTTCTCCGATTCTTCCAAGGTCTGAGATCTCTTATCCTACCTATGCCTTCCAAGGATATTCAAATCCTTATATGTTGATTTTACTGATATTTTTATTTAAACTTATTCGTAATATAAGCATATAATTAAATTGCAAATTTAATAAATGCTAATTAAGAAACATATAGATTTAATATATTATACATTTATCTCTGCATATATAAAAGATATAAGACATCCTCAGCAACTGCTGTTTGTAAAAACAGCAAATTATATTTTATTTTGTGAGGTCGTCTGAATAAACATTGTCTGGTGAATTATACATAAAAAAAATTTTGTCTTCTTATTTACCACTAGCCCGACATTTCTCCGATTCTTCCAAGGTCTGAGATCTCTTATCCTACCTATGCCTTCCAAGGATATTCAAATCCTTATATGTTGATTTTACTGATATTTTTATTTAAACTTATTCGTAATATAAGCATATAATTAAATTGCAAATTTAATAAATGCTAATTAAGAAACATATAGATTTAATATATTATACATTTATCTCTGCATATATAAAAGATATAAGACATCCTCAGCAACTGCTGTTTGTAAAAACAGCAAATTATATTTTATTTTGTGAGGTCGTCTGAATAAACATTGTCTGGTGAATTATACATAAAAAAAATTTTGTCTTCTTATTTACCACTAGCCCGACATTTCTCCGATTCTTCCAAGGTCTGAGATCTCTTATCCTACCTATGCCTTCCAAGGATATTCAAATCCTTATATGTTGATTTTACTGATATTTTTATTTAAACTTATTCGTAATATAAGCATATAATTAAATTGCAAATTTAATAAATGCTAATTAAGAAACATATAGATTTAATATATTATACATTTATCTCTGCATATATAAAAGATATAAGACATCCTCAGCAACTGCTGTTTGTAAAAACAGCAAATTATATTTTATTTTGTGAGGTCGTCTGAATAAACATTGTCTGGTGAATTATACATAAAAAAAATTTTGTCTTCTTATTTACCACTAGCCCGACATTTCTCCGATTCTTCCAAGGTCTGAGATCTCTTATCCTACCTATGCCTTCCAAGGATATTCAAATCCTTATATGTTGATTTTACTGATATTTTTATTTAAACTTATTCGTAATATAAGCATATAATTAAATTGCAAATTTAATAAATGCTAATTAAGAAACATATAGATTTAATATATTATACATTTATCTCTGCATATATAAAAGATATAAGACATCCTCAGCAACTGCTGTTTGTAAAAACAGCAAATTATATTTTATTTTGTGAGGTCGTCTGAATAAACATTGTCTGGTGAATTATACATAAAAAAAATTTTGTCTTCTTATTTACCACTAGCCCGACATTTCTCCGATTCTTCCAAGGTCTGAGATCTCTTATCCTACCTATGCCTTCCAAGGATATTCAAATCCTTATATGTTGATTTTACTGATATTTTTATTTAAACTTATTCGTAATATAAGCATATAATTAAATTGCAAATTTAATAAATGCTAATTAAGAAACATATAGATTTAATATATTATACATTTATCTCTGCATATATAAAAGATATAAGACATCCTCAGCAACTGCTGTTTGTAAAAACAGCAAATTATATTTTATTTTACTTTAAATATAATAAATTATATTTTATTTTATTTCTAAAATTCTTATTTAATTTCTGGAATAATTCCATATATCCATGTTTAAACTTGTCGTTCTGGCGTCTATACATCTTTTTTGATGAAACCTTGAACTTTTATGCAGCCTTGGTAAGTATTTAGATACGAACACGATCAGAATTTATGAAGGAAAAAAGGACGCCGACTTGATTACAACAAAGGACTCGGATCAAGCTTCCCGCTGATTACGATAATAAAATCATTTCATGATACGTGTGACATTTTTTTCGAGTAAGATTGTTCCAAGAATCGAATCATTATTTAATTATCTCTTTCTTTCTTAACGATATAATTAGATGTTTTATACGCCTCAAGGAAGAGGAAATTTCGATATAATTTAGCATCACGATAGACATCTGAGAATTAATCGCGATGAAGGAGTGCAACCGCGCGTTCTCCAGCTGTGTAATTGCTTTTCCGAGTTTTTCGCATGGCGCTCGCTGATAGAGATACAATCCCTTTCGTTTTAATCCACCAAATCCGCCTACGAGGTGCGGCATAACAGGAGCGGCAATCACCCCGCGTTCGCGTAAATACCTTTACCTATATCTATACAGTGAAGGCGCGTGGCACATCGTGGGCGTCGGTTGCCACGCAACCTGCTTCTCTCGCTAACGTGAACTGTCCTATCCTCGTGAACTCTGCACTTCACTTCGACCACATCATCGTGTCGATGCGCTCCATCATAACCGCTATGTCAGACGAGGGCGTTGTATTTTCGATAGGGCGAGCTAATATCTAAAAATACCGGCTAAATTAGGGAATGAAATACGAATCAAATTTATCCGTCCAATTTATTTATTATAATCGAGTTTGTGCGGGATGTAATGTAGTAACGTATTATGGCGTGATTAGCTTTTTTTTATTCCAAACATAAATATATAATAAATGTTACGTTATCTTGAGATCTCAAATAGACTTATTTATATTTGTCTATTAAGTTAGCATTTATTTTCTTAAAATTGCGCATCTAAATTGATACAAAATCTGAGATTTGTTTAACGTGTATTCGTTACGAGATGCTGCAACGTGAAACTGCAACGCATTGTTAATCCGAGTAAATTCCCAGACGTCGGGCTACACTTCTACCATTTGTCGGTCAGCATATCGTCAGACCATGGATTAAGCAGACAAAAAGAGAACGAGAAAGAAGCTGTCGGACAGAGATCAACAAGGAGCCGTCCACTAACAATAAACCGCTGAACAGAACTTGCTGTTGAGCGCAAACGCGGTTAACCCGAAGGTCGCTCGTTAATCCGCGAGTGCGCGTGTGCTATGAGTATCTTACCGTACCGCAGCAATTATACAAAATATTAATTTGTGAATAACATTATCTGTCTCTATTTTCAATCCTTTCAAATATACAACATGTATCTAATTCTGACAAATCTATTCCCATTTTATCTCTCTATTAGTTTTGCGTTAAAAACGGTCGGGAGAAATAAATAAAAATGATGCAAGCTAGTTTCGGGTACTGTGCTCATTGTGCCCATTTGCTGATACAGAAAGAGGGTGTTATCAATAGAGGGGATGCTGATCTCGTCGAATATATGTCTGCGACCTCGGCCGGATCTTGGACGCGCTCCTCAGCCAAGACACAGCCTGCGAGTACGGCTTTTGTGCGTGAAAGAGAGAGAAGAGAACGGAAGTGCGGGGGACGGGAGTAAGCTGGATACGCGGCTTGGTAATGTGAGGGCGTCCTGGAGGCTAAAACCCCGTCTGGGAATGTACTTCTCTTACCCAGGGACAGCGCGCATTCTCAAACACTAGTCAAAAGGTAGCCTCGAGCCGCGTACGTCGCTGGAAGGATTCCTCCGCGAAGATAATGCCCTCCACCGCGGCTTTCCGATAATTGGATTCTAAGTACAAAGCCGGCCCCCGCAAACATAAATCGCGGACGCAATCGGGGATGATCCTCAGCGGGTTTACTCTTAGAATTGTAACTAATTCTGTATACACTAGCATTAATTAGAATCCATAAAAATTTTAAGATAAATCATTTTTTAAGACGAATTTTTCAGATAAAACATTTTGCAGATAAAATTAAAAGATACAGATTTATTCTATATATACGTTTATACCGTTTCTTTGACTGTTCAAGAAATGAATCGCATTTATATAACAATATGAAAATCTTAGAAAATATTATAGAAAAATTCCATATATTGAATTTTTCTGTTAACAATATTATTCGATCCCAATTATTCCATCTTTTCAAACAGCAATATGAGTTTCTAAGCAGCATAATCTTTTTCGAGATGATTCACGTTCAGATTATAACACGATCCTTTCATATTGTTGTGTGTGTGTATAGGATGGTATAATATAGAAGCCCCCTTTATTATTCTCTCTCTCTCTCTCTCTCTCTCTCTCTCTTCCGGGTTAACGCACTTTCGTCCTTCGATGACCTACCCTGTCGACCTCCACCCTTCGGCAGCTCTCCCCCTCCTACATTCTAGTTTTCCACGTGGCAAGGTCGCGACCCTCGCGAAAAACCATTCTTACGCACGAAATAAGCTCGCTCTGGCCCAGGCTTTTTTTCACCCCTCACCAACCCGAAAATTTACGAGCGGCACGGCCTTCGACCATCTT